GTATATCAACGTGAAGAGTTATTTGCATTATACCCTAAAACTTTGTACCTCAAGTTTTTTTTCTTGACACATTGATGCCCCTCTTAACATTACGACATTAAGAAAAAAGGGGCTCCAAGTGTCAAAAAAACTTTTGGATATCAAAGCTAAAGATCATAACTTTAGGGTACATAAGTGAGAATAACCCAAATTTATATTGATGTAGATTTTATGACATCCAATTTATTACAGGAATACTTTGAGAATTTTGAGGGGGCTGACTTAAGTGGACAAGAAGGAGAGGATCCTGAATTAGTGGGAGAATTTAATCAGATTGCAGTGGATGTCCTAATAGATGTATGTTTTTTCTAGATTTTTTTTTGTTTTTTGAATATTGTTATGATAAATATTTTAATGGTGATAAAATTCAAGCAAATAATAGGATGTCTCAAAAACTAAATGAATTTGTAATTTTTTCAGATACCATGTTGGATGAGTGAGGTGAAGCATGGCTCACTTCACGATGAGGAAAGACTGGGTTTTCTGAAAGATGTTGTGGGAATGATTGGTGAAGGGAACCTCCCAGACTGGGATTTTATCTTCCTGAAAAGTCCTGCTAAACTACTTCTAAATCCTGGTAATCCTTTCTCATGGCCTATGAAATTTTCATGGGTTTTATTTGGTTTTTTTAATGGAGACTAGCTCGCATATATCAGCTCGAGTTCAACTAAATTGTATATGCAAATAACTTCTTCATTACTAATCACTACAATTAGTTACCATGTCATAAGACCATTTTCAACAACTATGACCATGTTATTAGACCTGATCTCTTCAAAAAAAATTCTGAAGTTCTCAACGGAACAAAGAGTAGCATAATCTGGGAAAGAGAATTTGTTCCTATTGGTACATGCGTAGAACTGACTCTTTCTTTTACTTCTTCCTCTTTCTCTCTGTAGTAGAATCCAACTCCATATAGTTGGTTTAGTCAATGTAATTGATACTTAGTGTAATAGACAGCTATGAATATTGTACACTCTCTTGATAGTTTGTCCCAACATCTGATGTGATTGCGGGACATGTATGTAAAACTTTGAATGTAATTGGTAATAGACAGCTAGGAATATAGTTGCCTTTTATTAGTTTTTCTAGCAGCTGGGATATGCACCACTAATAGAAATATGCACCAATATTTCTATAGCTCGTTGTGCTATAGTGCTGACCTCCAATTTATATTCATATTTATCAAAGTAAAACAGAGTTATGTTTGGACATCTAGACATGAATAAGAACATCCTAAACTGGTTCCCTTATTTTCTTCTTTGGCGGCCTTTATTATGAGAATTTCTCAACTTTAGACAAAGAGACTTTTAGCTTCGATCGTTTTAACTCTTTATGTTGTTTCCCTTAGTTCTGTTTGAATAAACTGTGCATTGAATAAGATACTATGCATTATCATTTCTGGACTAGGAGGTGCTTGAAATTATCTTTTGAAAGCCTATGTATTACCCCCATCTTGATTTATACATCTTTGCTTAGCGTAGTATAATTTGACTCTGTTTGAGTTACTGTCTGCATTTCTTCATTTTGCATTTCTTGGTTACTGTTTGTCTTATTTATTTCACACCTTTTTGTCTCTCTCGAGCTATCAGTCTTAACACCCAATTCTGTAGGTACCCAGCAGGTTGCAGCAGCTGCACTGTTTTTCAATTCTTACCCTCAGGATTCGAAGAGGTATACTCGAATAACTGATGCAGGTTATTGGAAGAGGTCGGAGAGATTAAATGATGTCAATCCTGATGGCTTTCGATTCGATTACACCTATGAGCTGAGGGAGGAAAGTTCTCAACAGAGAACCTTAGGCTTACATGAGTACCGTCTACAAACGGAGCGGAAAGGATAACAAATTCTCATTGTGCTACATATATCATAAAAAGGAGAAAAGAGTAGTAGTTGATGAGATTGTTCCATGAGTGAGTTTGCAACTAGTCATTTGTACAGAGTTAGTTCTTGACTATTCATTGTACATAATTATGGTACAATTACTTTTTACTATACAGAGTTAGTTTCTGACTATTCATTGTTTACTACCATTGATTGTATAAGAATCATTGTTTGTTGATGAAGAACTTTGGGGTTGCATGATTACTGTGTTGTATATAGCATTAATGAGAGCTTGTTCACTGTGTTTCTTGAACTAGTTGTGTAAGGGTTTACTTTTTGGTTGGTTTAGTATCGTGTAAGAACCTTTGTGGTGTAATGATAAGATTAGTCTCTTTGATTTTGACTCGTTTTCTTTACAAACATTGAGTGAAGAGCACAGTGTTGCTTCAATTGCTGCCTCCTCATCAACATAGAATAGCAGTTTGAGGACATCAAAGCTTGTACATGGAAATAACGACAATAGAAACAGAGTCATTCCAATTTGTGAATATTATATGAGAAGTGCATCTGTATATTATTGTTTCTTTGAAGACATGAACACAAGAAGGAATTCATTTGAGAGTATCTCTTCAAGCCCATCTTCGGATGTGCAAAGAATGATGAACATCGAGATAGAAGTTGAAGAGAATTTGGCTCCGTGATGTTGGGACTTCTCGGGGGCACATGAGAATGATCTCTGAGGATTACTTGATTGATTTTAGTCACAAATCTTGATTGTGAAGATGTTAATGCCCCTGAGAAGCTCAAGCTGAAGAATTTTGCTGATGCTTTGAAGCTTTCAAGGTCCCTTAAGTCGAAGGAGATACTGGCATCCTTCACTAAAAAGGATATATCGTTATTTAATTTGATAAAAGTGTTGGCTGTATATTTCATGCCAGCATTCAACAGATGACTGCATTGATGTTCATATCAGTTAAGGCAGTAGTTGAATTGAGATGAAATACAGAGGACATATTACATTTCATTATACAATTATGTGGAAGCCAAGATTAATGTGGCTTTGCCAGGGGCTGTGTGATGTTGAAAAGTTTGCTTGTGTAATATGTTTAACTGTTCCGATATGCATCAAAGTGTTTGTATCATATAATAATATGGCAAGGGTTCTCGAATTATGAATTAAAGTTATTTTTATGCCATGGCACGCTAGCCATTGTTAGTGCGCCGGTGGTGGTTAGTGTTAGCAACACGATGGAAAACCGAACCACACATCGATGAAAGAAGGAAATTAAGAGAAAACAACTATAGAAACACACGAATTTAATGAGGTTTAGGCTGTTTAGCAATCAATGTTATTACATATGTCCATTTTCTTGGTGTAATACGTATAATTAGGTCATGATTCTACTAATAATCAATAGAGATTACAGGCAAACTCCCATGCCCCAATCTTTATTTCAGTAGAGGTGGCTATAGGGATCCAATTCTAGATCCCATTACTTTGTATACTCCATGTAAATTAGGCTCTACAAACAATTGAAAATATTAGGAGCTTGCTATATGATCTGAAACCTGAGAATGCAAACGAAGCCTGTTGGTGATCAAGTGAGCGGAACAAAGGCTGAGCCTTGATTCAGAATATTGGCATCTTTATAACTAGCTTTCATTTTGATTAAACTCTGTTGTTAGCAATCTCCTCTATTGCTAATTTTATGACTAGTATTATCCTTTTTTCTGCCTCTATCTATGTTTAGTATTATCCCTGGTTTTATTAGTTGAAGCTTGTCATTAATTTCTTCTTACTCATTTCTTATTGTATTTTTTAGAAAATTGTGAGTTATATTTCACAATTTCTCATCTCATAGTGATGCTCATTTATTCGTGGATGTCATCTTTCTCAATTATTCCGCATCATCATTTTGCTAGGAATAGCCTAGCGTATCATGTACCCCTCTTGTATTTTTTTTCAATCTAATCGGTATCATACATAAAAAAGTACTCGAAACTAAGTTTTTATACCCCTCTTGTATTTTTTTTCAATCTAATCGGTATCATACATAAAAAAGTACTCGAAACTAAGTTTTTAACTTTTCAATCTTGTTTCATTACTGCTAATCGGTATCATACATAAAAAAGTACTCGAAACTAAGTTTTTAACTTTTCAATCTTGTTTCATTACTGTCTTATTTAATGAAACGCTGGGGAGTTTTGGTCTCGCACTCTCTCTTAAAAAAATTATCTGGCATCATTTGATGATTTAATAAAACACAATTGTGGGGATAGACTTCATTAATCTTTCTGTATCATCATTTGATAAATTGCATTCTGTCCAGTGACAACATGTATATATGAAACAACTTGTTTTATTTTAGTTTTATTTATTTTTAAGAAGTGAAGCTTCTGATGGTAACTTGCTTATTTTACGTAATAATATTGTATTTATTTTTCCACAGGTCAACACGATGTGATTCCTTAACTCCCATGCGTTACAGTTTGAGCCTGATATGTCTACCAAAGCATTGCAATAATTATTTCAATATATTAATCTAATGACTTGTGTGAGACCAAAGAATATCATCCAAATTGCGTGGAAATGCTTTATGCCCTCAAACTTCACTTTTCAATGCTCACAACTTTATAATTCGAGGTCTTCAGATATAAATCTAACAAGTAGGTACAGAAGCATGGCGAGTAGGTACAGAAGCAAATCGAATTCCTTCGTTCTATATATAAATCTAACAAGTCGCAGCAGAAAGAAAAGAAAAAAGGGATATCATCGCTGACAAGCGTCACGCTTCTCTTCTTCTCACTTATTAATGGAGATGATCAGAATAGCACCGCGAGTAGGTATCTTGTGATGTCTCTTGGTGGCTGGATTGCATACGTAAAGGCACATGTCAGGCCGAGTATAACACAAGATCAAGCCGTTGCAAGAGCTTCGCACCAGTAATTTGCGATGTTGAGGCAAGAAACCGAGAACAGATTTGATGTCGAAGCCGATAGAATCCTCTTGCTGCAGGTGATTGGTTGGCGTGCTGACGTACACCGAGTCTTCATCGAACTCGTCGCCCACCTCATAGAAGAGTCCGGAGAGGGGCGAGGGTAGCTTCTTGCGGTAGTAACCATTGTTGTTGGTGATGATGGAGTTCCAAGATTTCGAAACACAGGCGAAGCGGTACAGAGATTTGGCGGGCAGTCGAGAGAGAATCTCAACCAGCAAGTCACACGTCAATTTGTTCGCGCTGCTCATCTCCATAGATTGATTTAATCTTTCCTTAGTTTGTTCAATTCAATATAGCAATCAGACCATATATTGGGTGGGGGTGAGAGAGAGAGTCCAAACCTTCTGCTACCATAAAAACACAACCAAGGATTCTAGTACCAAGAAAATATGTGCAGCAAATAAAAGTCATGATTAATATTCACTAGAAATCTTGTACGTGCAAATACATTTGATAGAAATAATTATTTTTCCCTATATTTTTTAATTTTGTAAATAACTTGCAACATATTTTAATTTTATTTGGTAATAGATAATGCATTTAATAACAGACGTTGAGAGGGCAAGATGTTTTTTAAGAAAAAATTGTCTTTCTTTGAACTTGGTATCATCTTTTCTCCAATTATTTTTCTGTTATACTTACTATTCTATTTGTACTATAGTTAACGTAGCGCGGAAGTGATAATCTCAAAATCTACCAAGGGGTGTTCTCTGAAGCCACAAAGAATGATCTCCGAATCCACGAAAAATTTTGAATCCGCGAAGAAAATATTGAGAAATGTTCTAAAATTGCAGTTGAGACACGTTACAGTTGAGATGTTTTTTCTAAAATTGCACCAAAATTGAGAAATGTTCTAAAATAGCACCAAAATTGAGAAATGTTATCTATAATACCCCCATAAGAAGGGGTTTTTGTCAATTTGAATCAGTTGGGTGGGTTTTTAAGACAATCCCCATAGTTGAGAGGGTTTTTAAAAATTAACTATTGTTTTAAATATGACTTATTCATAATTTGCCCATCAGAATTTTAATAATTTAATATTAGTCCCAAAAATTATTAATAGGATCTTGCCAACTGCCAACCGGGAGGGGGAAAAAAGAAAAGAAAAGTGGAGGAGAAAAAAAACTATCTCATCAAGTAAATTATTCAAGAAGTCTAAATTACGAACGAGCCCCTGCGGACATCGATGGCGGACAACCAAGATTCAAGAATTACAATAGAGCCATCGGGCCCACAACCACCAAACTAGGGCTGTGGATGGTTCAGTCCAAACCAAAAAAACCGACCGAACCGATCGAAAATTAACGGTTCAGGTCGGTTTTATTTGTAAGTCGGTTCGGATCAGGCTGAAAACTTTTCAACCTGAACCGCCCGAACCAACCGCATCAGTTAACAGTTAACACTATAATTTTGACCCGTAACCCGTACCCGACCCGTTCATATGTAAAATCCCTCAAAGGGAACCTAAACCCTAGCTCCATTCTCCAAGCCTCCAACAACTCCCCAAGCCTACAGCCGCCACTCGCCAGCCCACTTCCTCCGCGGCTCCGCCTAGCAGTTCCGCTTCCGCAAGGACCGCAACTCAGTCCCGAATCCAAGCCTCCATTCTCCAAGCCTCCCGATCTCAAGTGCGAATCCCGATCTCCAGGTCTCCGGAATCTCAGTCCCGTTTCCCGATCTCCAAGTCTCCCGATCTCCGATGAACACGGGTAATAATTGTTTCTATTTGGGTAAGCCTGTAGATGGTATTGATCCTTACTTTCGAAATGCTGTGCAGTATCCTCAAGAAGGAAACGACGAGCATGCCATTGAGGAACACGGAACAGATCGCACTCCCCAAATACTCTCAGGCACTTTTCAGAGTCAAGTTTTTTCGAGTGATGAAGATCACGAAACTGGAAAAGAAACTGGCAGTTGTATCTCTGTTGACTGCAAGGTAACTAGAAGTGACGGTGCTATACCAAGTCCTCTAAGTGTCTTCAATATCTAAAATCGTAACATTATTTCCCAATTTAAACTATTTATTGCTTTTATTTAATTCTCTTTCTCTCAATGCATCACCCATCTCTATGAGACTGTCTCATGTTGGCCTATAGCCTATTTGGAGTTGAATGCTAAAGATATAGCTTGATGCGTTCTGCTTATTAAGTTAATGGGAATACCTATCTGACAGAAGCATTTACCTAATGCTTAATTTGGACTTAAACCTCTTTATTGCCAGTTCAAAATGTCAAATTTTTTACTTTTATGCATTCTGGGTGAGTCACCTTGTTGCAAAAGATGTTTCATTAGGTCTTTAGCCTTGCGACTGTGGTTCAAAAATCCTTGTATTCATAAATGTGTAAAGTAATGCTGATGAAGTTTGATGTTTGTCACAAACCTATTCTTGAATTTAGATTACATTTTGATTAGAACCAAACCGCACCGAACCGACTTGCAACAGTTCGGTTCGGTTTTGAATAATGGGTGGTTTGGTTCGGTTGTTCAAAATTTGATAAAAACCGAACCAACCGACTGTTTGCACACCCCTACACCAAACGTTGGCACGCCATGCCCAGCAGGGGGTCCCACTTTGCGCCTTAAAACCCCAACCTCGCCCCCGAAATCTCTCCGCAAAAATCTTGCCACAGAAGACGATGACGATAATGTTGCCGGCATCGAGGCTACTGCCTTGGCGTGTTCCGACGACCCTACTGGTGGAGGAGAAGCAGCAGCAGCTCCGCTTTCTACGGGCGGAG